ATCATCCAAAAACGACCCACCCTGAGGTCTTTCACTTGAGAAAATGAGCTTGGATTGGATATTCTGTGTATCAAGGAGATGCGGGCGACAATAGAGGAACTGCTCATGATAATGCCTAATTAGAAAGGAAAGATGACTTGGTGCACATGTATAGAGTTTAGAATGCCAAATATCATGAACTGATCAAATCCTATAATCATATATCTCGTGCTTATCAATCTGGAATCTAACATCACCATAGCATATCATTTATGCCATCTTTCTCTTTTAGCAGTAGAATTAGTGGCTGAATTGACCTCCATATTGAACTACCTACTAACATTGATATGACTTGCAGCGTGCCTCTCTACTACCTGGGTGCCTTACTATTAAGCCATCAGCATTTACATACTAAATGTATGAATACCAGGCACCTTCTATTATTTTATACTAATAAAAGCTGCAGATTCTTATAATTTGTATTGCTTTATACTAAAGGATCACCATTATTCACAAGTCTTCCAAGGTTATTATATCATTCATCAATTGAGAAACCTCGGAATGAAGAAACCCTCTTATCGCCGTTATCGCCTATCAGTAACAATCTATCATACATACCCATTCATAATTCACAGCTTCCTTCCGAGCACATCCATCATTCCGTGCAACATTCCTATTTCTATTTCCCCTCATGTAACATCCACGGGAATATCAAGGTACAAGGGGAAAAACAGAAAAGGTATATCCGTCATCAATGTACCATCAGCATTAATGTTGTGATCTGACACGTAGAAAGAGCTGCAGTAGGAGTTACAGCATTTAATCTCCAATCCAGGGAGCTCCCCGAGCTTTGCGGCCACTAAGATCGACCCCTCACCTCACAAGAGAACGGAAGGCGAAATTATATCATTTGTGTTTACTTCACTTCGATGTGGCCTTCACACGATCGTGCAGTTGATCTCTCCTCGACATCCTCCAATTCATCAGCTAAAAGAAAGCATCGCGATCCTCAAGGTCCAAATCCCAACCCAGCGAACACGCCCCCTGGTACATCTAAGGTTGATTATCATTCTTCGAAAAAGCTAAGGTCAATTTCATCATCAACAAGTCCAGGTTTACGGTCCAACATGAACAAGACAATGGGGTTTTCGCGTCCAGGGGTAGTAGATTTGACGAGGCCATCGAATTTTCAACCGCATACTGGAGCGAAGAGATTGGTGATTAAGAACCTCAGGATAAGTTCTCCGAATGATGGAGAGCAGTATTTCAAGAAGACCTGGAACGAATTAGATAATGCTTTGACATCAGTATTTAGCAACAAGCAGCCAGAAACACCATTGGAAGTTCTGTAAGCTTTATTGACTCTTCCATATTGCACCCCAATTGTCAACTCTATCTTCATCTTCTATCTTCTCCTCTACTACCGCTGCTTCCATTCCTCGCCCTTTCTAATAGTCTTGCTCAACGTTCAATTACATTGCATCTCATCTTTCCCAATAGGCAATCACTGACCCTTCAATATTGCAGATGTCGTGGAGTCGAATCGATTTGTCGGCGTGGAAAAGATAAAGCGGATCAACTATATAGACATCTAGAACTGCATTGTCACACACATATCAAGGATGGACTCTTACCAGATATTCTAAGCAAAGGAGATTCCAGCTCGGTAGAAACTCTGCGGGCTGTTGAGACTGTATGGGGGACATGGAGAACCCAATTGGTAGGCCTGCAAATGGACTTTTGCCAATCTAGAGAAAAGTACTGACAACGAGGTCAGGTTCTATTGAGATCCATATTCAGCTATCTTGACAGATCCTATCTGCTGAACTCAAAGACACTTCCGCAACTCGAAGATATGGGTATACGACAATTTCGCCAAATCGTGTTTTTAAAAGGAAAGGAGATCAGCAAAACAGGAGCACAAGCTATACTGGGGATATGTGAACTGGTAGAGTATGATAGGAAGTCTTTAAATTTGTTTGATCCAGCCCTTCTCCGAGCTTCCATCGCCACAATTCATATACTTGGTATATACACAAGTCTTTTCGAGGACCGATTCCAAGAGCTTTCTTCAGCCTACCTCGAGAATTTTGCATCAGAACGGAGCTCTTCGCCACTAAGAGAATATATCTCTTCTTGCGACGACCTTTTACGACGAGAAAGTCTCCGTTGCGATGCATGCAACTTTGACAGCACTACCAAAAAAACATTGCTCGACACCGCTCACGATATTTTGGTCCGCAAACGCGCCGACGTCCTCCTGGAAACAGTAGCTGTATCTAAGCTCTTGGACGACAAAGAAATGCCATCACTTAAATCTTTATACCAGCTATTGAGACTTTCGGATATCCAGGCACAGCTCAAAAAGCCTTTCGCCCATTATACAAAGTCTGTCGGATCATCTATTGCAATGGACAAAGAAAGGGGCGATGAGATGGTTGTTCGTCTGCTTGAACTGAAACGGTCATTGGATACTGTCATCCGTGACGCCTTTAACAAAGATGGGACGTTTACTTTCTGTCTTCGGGATGCATTTGGACAATTTATAAATGACCGCCAAGTTGCCAAGGCATGGGGTACAGATACCTCTAAAGTTGGGGAAATGATTGCGAAATACATGGATGGTTTACTGCGTGGGGGACTTAAGGCTGTACCTCGTTCTCTGGTATCTGATGCCACAGATCGCAATGAGGCTGAGAAGAATGGACAAGCTAGTACCGGGGATGAGGATGCAGAATTGGACCGTCAATTAGAACAAGGTCTTGAGCTGTTCCGCTTCATTGAAGGGAAAGACGTATTTGAAGCTTTTTACAAGAAAGATCTGGCACGTCGCTTGTTGATGGCACGCAGTGCAAGTCAAGATGCTGAGAGGAATATGCTTGCTAAGTTAAGAGGTGAATGTGGTAACAGCTTCACCCATAACCTCGAACAGATGTTTAAAGATCAAGATATCTCTCGGGATGAAATGATCTCATATAAGCAGTCTCTAAGCAATACAAGCAAGACAACCCTGGATCTACAAGTTAGTGTCCTCTCGTCTGCTGCTTGGCCAACTTATCCGGATATCGAAGTCAATCTTCCTGCCGAAGTCGCGAGACATATCGAAAAGTACGACCGGCATTATAAGCACAAACACAGTGGGCGCCGATTAACTTGGAAGCATTCTCTAGCACACAGCGTTGTCAAAGCAACGTTCAAAAAAAGTGTTAAGGAACTCCTTGTCAGTGGTTTCCAAGCTATAGTACTTGTTCTTTTCAACGATCTTGAAGATGGCGGTCATCTTTCCTACAAGGATATCTCTAAAGCAACGGGTCTCGTCGATGTTGAACTAAAACGAACCCTCCAGTCGCTTGCATGCGCCAAAATTCGGCCCTTGGCTAAATATCCTAAAGGCAGAGATATCAATGATACTGACACTTTTACCATCAATCTCAATTTCTCGGATCCAAAATATAGAATCAAGATTAACCAAATTCAATTGAAAGAGACCAAGGAGGAGAACAAAGAAACGCATGAGAGAGTTATTCAAGATAGAAGTTTTGAAACCCAAGCTGCGATTGTTAGAATCATGAAGTCTAGAAAAACAATGACCCATCAAAATCTGGTCGCGGAGGTTATCAATCAAACTAAAGGGAGAGGTGCCGTGGAGCCGGTGGAGATTAAGAAACACATTGAGAGTAAGTCTTCACTTTTCTATTGGACATTCACCGAGGATAGAAGGACTAACAATTTTTGAAGAATTAATCGAAAAGGATTATATCGAGCGAGAAGATGGCGGTCTTTATACATACCTGGCATAGAAAGCATGGTAAGGCCTCGCATGTGGGAGTTATGGCTGGCATTTTAAGGAGTCAGGATTTACGTCCATAGGTATGGTTTGATATGCATCTACGAATATAAATATTTTAGCAAAGATTCAATGTTATTGAGGAAAAATAACACTCATATATCTTGTTGCTTGTTTCGATGTGAGAGTCTTTATAGTAGTTCCCTGTGGCGATGATCTAGATGTGCAATTCTTTGTCGGATTAGAATGTAGTCACTTGATACTTGTTGATTCATATACGTTTGGAGTTTAAAGCGGGAAGTTTTGATCTGGGGTCTGACATGGATTGAATGAAAGTATTGCTGTTACTATAGCGTTATTTTAAAGCTTGAAGAAAGGAGAAACTTTGGAAAAGATTGGATTTGGAAATGGATTGCGAGGAGAGATGGATGGATGGATGATGTGATATGGTATGGTATGGTATAATGAGAAATGCAGGGAGATAGGAATTCGAATCATTGAACTTTGAACGGTGTCTTGTTCTTTTTGGGTGATACGGGAAGAGATATTGTTAGGTTTTTGGTTGGATTGTGTTATTGGGTGTGTTGGATATTTGGGTAGTGTGTGTTGTTAAACGTAATTGGGATTCATTGATGAAGAGCTGGTTTCTGGAAGTGGGGATGGAGATGACGATCTAACTATTAATAGAGAGAGAGAGAGAGAGATTCATGTTTGATGGTATTATTATTCACGAGATGCCTGTCTGAATTCCATTCACGATATAAAGGAGATGTGCAAGTCTCAAGATATTCTTATGATGAGATTGAAGACAAGCTGGTTATTTGTGGATAAATATATTATTATTATGATTACTGTTATGATTACTATTACTATTACTACTATAAAGACAGTGCGTCTAATGTGCCTAATGCAAAGATACAGGAAGAGAAGATTGGCGATTGTGATAGTACATTATATCTTCTCTCTCCGTATCTTGCTTTGAGCCGTGTGGTTTAAGTCAGATGTTTTCCAACCTTCACCTCCTGGTTCACTAGAAACCCACTATCTACTAACACGCTTTACACACGAGGATACTCCGCCTTCAACCCCCTGTACTTCGATACCATACCCAAGTCTTGCTACGCTAAAATGCTAATTGTCGGTTTGATTAAGCAGAGACGGGAATTCAATTCGCAAGTATCGAAATCCCTACGCCCTGATCGCGCGCACAGGGCTACAGAGCACAGCTCTTGAATCATGAACCCAGCATCCGCCTGTACATAAACCATCCAGCGTGATATGAGCCGGTAAGCATCTGCCATCCAACCAAGGTATAGTTACGGATAGTCATCCCACCACCCATCCATGCCATGACGATGTTGTAAGCGTGGGACTCCGGGAACCTACAGTAGGTGACGAGATTTTGGTAGATCCAGTTGCGCGTATTGGCGGTGTTCCAAAGGTGGTCTGGGCGATAGTCCGCGCAGATAGGGGGGTCGGGAGCTGGTTGTCGGGGGATTCTGGATGTGTCGCGGAGTGTGCTGGGAGCTACGAATGGTATGGGAGGGTTGGCGGAGGCGAAACCGCAGGGGATGAGATTCATGTTTCTGGTTACGTTCCTGCGGATGGATTTCTCGAATTCGGCTCGGGAAAAGCTAAGGCCGGCGAATGCTGATGAGTCTGTGAAGCTGGGTTGGCAGTGTTGCGAAGCAAGAGACGATCGCGTGGGTCGTCTTGGAACTCCGAGGTTATTAGGTGCGGAGGTTTGGGGGGTTGGAGTTGGACCCGAAGCTGAAGTTGTGTTGCGCGAGTGTCGTTGAAATCCGGGGTAGAGCTGCGAGGGACGCGGTACGTGTGTCGAATTTAATGCGTAATTGATGTTCGAAAAATAAGCACGCCCAATGAGGGAATTGTAGTCGTCGTCGCCAAACGCTCTGGCTGTTGATCTCTGGGCGGAATCATTAATACCTGCAGGATATGATACGATGTTAGATACAACACGACTACGCATTCCGCCTGTTGAGTCCATTGTGGAATCACTACCTTCTGTAGCATATCTTTCTGCCCTAAACTCTGAACTGGCACCACCACCGTGCTGACTATCTTCCCTTTCGCGTTGTGCTTGCTCGGTATATCCTTCGGCGCCGTTTTGTATCATGTAACTAGCAATCTTGAGACGATGTCCTGCTTCCGTTGAACTGCGGGTTCCTTCCAGGGATTTTAAATGCGAAGCTCTGAACCTCTCGCACAATATCTCGTATTCGTCCTGATAGACATCGTTGTCTGTTGAGTGTCGCTGTGTCTCGGTGGTGGTCGCGCGTTCTCGGCTTCTTCCTCCAGGAGATTCAGTGCGATCGGGATATGATATTGGATCTCGTCTTATAGTATTACGTTCGACATCACGCCTGTATGCCTCAAAAAATAGGATCCACACTTGGGCTCTGGCCACGACGCGAATACTCGCCAAGTAGGCGCACTCTCGGAGGTGCGCTTCTTACGCGAAGTGGAAAACTCTCACTCATTGCTGCAAATACGCCTCGCAGAATTTTGGAAATAGAAGAAATAGATGAGATCTGGGGATGAGGTATGAGGAATAACTGTGTAGATTGAAATAGATGAGATTTGAGTATTGTAGACTGGGTGTCGCTCAAGATGGATAATATCTATGGATTGTAAATGAGAGAGTATATCGAAGGAAATATCTTCGGAAATGGAGATGAAAGGTTTGGAATGAATGGGAAGAGAAAGATTTTCACAATTCGTTTTGTGTGAAAATCTGAAGACTAGTGATTTAGAGCGACTGGAGAAGTTCAATACTAGTCATCTATAGCGGCTGGAAATTTTCAATAATAGTAATTCATAGCGACTGGTCTTAAAGTTGAAGCTAATTACGGTGTACAATTTTACTTATGTCCAACTTTTGAAAACTGTCTGCATTGTGAAATATTTCGTTCGTAGGAAACAAACAAGGAATGCAAATAGAGCCTCTTGAACGCTTCATATGTTACCTGATGACTGTTAGAGATCTTAATGTCGGTACACGGTAGGATACTGTAGATAGATTACAAAAAAACTTGAAGAAATCTAACACAATCTCGAGAATTTTCCCCTAGGGACAGCAGTTTCTCTGGCATTCTCCAGTTCTCCGTTCATTCGATGGGCGCCAGTAGAAGACTACCACTGGCGCCATTCTAGGCAAAGACGATGAAAACTCTGAAAGAGAGCAATGGTGGTAATATCATAACCACAACCAACTTCATCGATCCAACGTTTAAAGATCGAATAAACAGCGATGAAGGATCATTGTCCACTGAGACAGTGATTGATAGGGATGGTGTCATCCAACTTACGTACGAAGTTGTACGCAAAGGAACGTTTGTGACCCGGTGCTCAGGTAGGTGTATGAAGACTCTTCAAATCCAAAAGATACGACCCAAGCAGCATTGATAATCCCATGTGGCTTATGAGAAGAAAAAAACAATACGAGGTAGTTCCGTCGACAAAGAATAAATGGGGAGATTGAATCAACGTAAAACAACAGCATTTGAGAGACGAAGGGATCAAAAAATGAGAAATTACATGTTTTCTTGTTTGTTGATACTGTACCATGTACTGTCCTAGCCCTGCAAAAGGTCGTGGACTTTGGCGAAGATAACTTTTGAGGTCAGGCCACATCTGTTGGCAGCTCAAAAGCCTCTCTTTCTTATGATAGACCGAGAAGATGCTAATAATAGTAGTACAGAGGCTTGTTCTACTGTCTGCAAGGACAGAAGATTATTTGTCAAATACTAATAGTCAAATGTATGAATTTTGGTTACAATAACCTTACCTACTACCTAGGTACCTAGGTAGCTATAGGAAGGTAAATGAATTGATATACTTTTGGAAATCTCGGACCCGAAATTGGTACACATCTGTGCACACCACACGAACAAAGTAAAGGTACAGCTCATTTCAATTGCTTGGGAATGGGACGCCATTATCGTATACATACATCATTAAAATGTCATTGAAGTGCACCGGTAAGGGTGTCTATGCACTTTATATTTACATGAATCGTCCAAGAGCATAAACGTGGGGGGGGGGTGTAAAGTATGATCTCTCGGCTCTATCGTGTTCGGCAGAGGGGATATGTTAAGCTTCTTCTTCGAAAGTCTAGGTATTCTCCATTCCGGATAGATACTACCTAGATACTCTGTATCCAGTCAACTGGTAAACTTAAGCTATGATCCATCGTGATATTTACCATTAAGTAGCAGGCTAATGGGTATTTGGCTTCCGGAGGAGGGGATATATTGTACGGTATATGAGATACCGTTTGTTCTACTTCTCCCCGGAGACCCGCCATTTGGATTACTATACAGAGTACGGACTCGTCGAGAGTCAAGACGGACTTGAGACGGAGTATAGCCACCCAGCCGTGCCAGCCAACTGAACTTGAAGCCAAGAAATTCAAGATCCACAATGATGTCCACTATGAAGCTGTGATCTCTCCTCGTGAATCTCGTCGAATGCCTTGGTTGGCTCTTGCACCCTTAAGAATTACGACATAGGTGAACATGTTTTAGAATCTCACATCATCATTGATTAACATCTCCTATTTCATCCCAACTGATTCGTGAATAGCGTTCTGGGTGTTTCCAAAATCACAGCCACAAATCAAATGAATGATGTCGAATGGCCGACCACTACCTACTACAAGACACACTCAAAATAAACATGTTTGATGGTCATGAAAGCGCCCTGATGGAAGAAGGAGAATCGGTTGGTGGTTACTCTTTTACACCAAAATCAGATCTCCACAAGGGTCATGCGAATATGGCTGGTGCGACACACTAAAAGGGATAACCGCCGTTCTACCGCAGTTCGAAAGTAAGAATTTTAACGATGATTCGAAACTGCCAGCAATCAAAGGGTCAAAGAGCAACCAAAGAATTCATCTAGTAACATCTACACCCGCGCTTGGTCAAATATAGCGTCAGGGTACTTCTTCTATCCCCAGTGATTCAAGTGGCGATCACCTCAACTTGGACAAACATTCCGACGTTGTTCAGTCACAGCGTTGCTTCCCCCCGCAGCATGGCCAGACGAGCAATCCGATCACAGTATGGAATTTGTGGAACAAACCTGCTTCGCCATGTGAGACGACACCCCAATGATTGTGTCTAAATTCATACATTCATTGTGAAGTGTGGGTGACCATTGACTGGTCTTGGAAGATTCCATCAACCTTCAATATGCTTCAAGGATTGAATGGCACGGTATCTAGTCGATGCTGTGTATTCTTTTTAAAAAGGTTGTAATAGACTCTGCTGATCTTCTCTCAATCTCAAATTTTCTTTTGGAAATTTTCTTTTTCTCTACTCGTCACTCTCCTTGAATTATTCCTTCATGGGAACTATCCACTGCTTTTACATCAAATATCTCCTCTCTCTTTTACGTTCCTGGTGAACAATTTCCAAACGGCCCCAATCTCTGCATCGGTCGGCCTCAAGTTGTGGCTATAACCTCTATCAGTAAAGGTCGAGGGGAGCGATATTTGGGGAACTACCTTTCACTCATCGTGACGAGCTTCAGCAGTCATTCCATACTCTCTTCACTCACAAAACATTCGACACCACCTCAAAAATATCTACCATTCCAAATTCCTGGAACGACACATTTGATCCACTTTCATCGTCTGGGTTATCCATGATCCATCTAATAAACCGTCCATCTGAAACGCAAAACATCAAAAACTGACTGTCAGGTACGAGCACGGTCCGCGCTCCAAAGATTCCGATTTCTTTACCAAGGCCCCAGATCGACCTTTCAGACCACTTCTAAGTTTTCGTGCAATTCCGTTGGAGTTTTACTACTTGCATATCCGATAAAAGCTGTGCTCATCGCGATTGCTTTCTCATCTTGTACTTTTGCTTCTTCTTACATTCATTAGTTGTCAACCTGTGGGGCTTTAAAAGGGAATCCGGATTTCTTCAGCCTTTGTATATCACCAGGCTCCCCCCATATTGCATGTTAAACTTCGAGACACTTAATGGGCATTGTTTGACTTCCATAATTACCAAAGCTACTTAATATTATTCATAATGGGGTGGTTTGGAAACCAAGATTTGTCTGCCAAATTCGGGTGAGTCTCTTAACAATGAACATTCATACATACATGTATCTGATAGATCTTCTATAGAATTGTCCTTGGTGGTGCAATCTTCATTGTATTATCCGCTGGCCTGATAAAAGTATGGCTCAACAAAAGAAAGTAAGATAGAAGCTTCAAATAATTGGATGTACTTTTGCTAAATGTATCCCCAGGCTCGCAAGAAATATCAAAATCGAGGAACTTGAGAAGGCAAACAGCACGCAAGAGAGACTCAATGTGGAGGAGCTTGGTGAAGGTGATCTCTTTGGTGTTCGAGCAATCGAGAGAGGTTTCTTCGGAGGTGTTTCACAATCTCGAAGCAACTCTCCCGCTCAATCAATGTTCGGTCCACCCTCAACAACCGCGGTCGACTTGACAGAAACTTCCAGAGCACTTGAGGCTATTAGAGGTCCGTCAGCTGCTAGCAGCAGTCAAATGAGTTTATCCAGCCATTCCAGCGAGGTCTCCGCTCCCAAATCGATCAAACACAAGCCGTCACCTCTCCGCTTACAGCCTTCTGAAGCGGAAATCAGACGCTCTGCTCTGCCTAATGTTGGAGGCTCATACATACCACCATCACCAATCAAGGAGGTTCGGCCTCAATTTAACTCAGTTGAAGTTCAATTCGGTAGACCCTCAGTTTCTGAGTCTCCTCCCAGCAGAAGTCGATCTGAAGAGGAGGTATCTCAACTACATTACCAAGGAGAGGTTCCACGTAACTTCATGTTTTTACCAGGTCAACACTCGAGCGTTAGATCCCAAGCAGGATCTATATACGGCAGTGCCGAACCATCGCCTCAGAACCAAGCCAAGATTCCCAAGCTTCCCACAGCACCAGCTCCAACACACGTCTTCGGATTCCCTCCCCGATTCTCCGGACGATCACGATCTACATCCCCCGAAGAAGACTCTTCCAGCAGCGATCGCTCCTCAACCTCCTCCCCCGAATTACCCGTCCCTGCCATTCCCTCTCCCTACAAAACCTCTTACCAACCCACCACCCACCTCGAACAAGAACCACGACAACCCAACACCGAACCCCGCTCTTACCAACCCACCCAGCCTTCCGAACCTGAATCCCAACCCAACTTCTACACTCACTACCGCGAACCCAGCGTCGCCAACTCCATCCTCACCACCCGAACATCCATCCTCGACGACCCCTCTCTCTCGCGTTCCGGCTCTGTGAACCCTGTCCGCGGCCGTCCCGCCTATAAGTCTAATTCCCGCACTCCTTCCGCCGCCTACTCCCACGGTCAAATATCTCGCACCCACGATTCTCTCCGCATGTCTCGCAAAGCCTCGCTTCAAACACAGGAACGTCGGGTTTCGCGCGACAGAGATCAGATGCACTACGATCCGACGCTATCTTCTGGGTCTGCGGTG